GCCAGTAGAAAAGGCTGTACTACCGAACAGCTTACCCTAACATGTGTAACATCTTAAACATGAATAGTGCTTTAATGCTTTGCACCAATGCTATGGTATGTTATAACGTTCAGAAGATAACAAAGCTACAATGTTTTAGGTTTAGCTACAATAACGCTTACAGTTTGTTGACCTTTGGAATATAACTGCTCAATAGCTCTATAGAAAGTGATGCCGCCATGAACGGCTCTTTCAGAATGTATGTCGCGCTCCATTAACTATATTTTACTGGCGTGACAGTAAAATCTCATTTAAAGTGTAATAGAGTTTTTTTTCTAAAATTACCAATATTTTTATTATTTTGCATCTCTATAGATGTCACTATTATACCTGAGTCCCCTAACCATCCCTCCCTCCAACTGGAGCATTAACTACATCTAAAGGTGAATACATGTAACGGCTAAAACTGTATAACTTTTGTAGAGCAAGTCATGATTTGCAAGGTGTTAACTGTCACTGCACTGCTTTCCTTGGTATTGGCTCAATATCAACCAACATGGCAGTCACTGGACTCACGCCCCCTGCCCTCTTGGTATGATGAGGCCAAGTTTGGTATTTTCATGCATTGGGGGGTGTACTCTGTGCCAAGTTTTGGATCTGAGTGGTTTTGGTATCGCTGGAAAACTGGGGAGCCTGCTTTTGTAGAGTTCATGAAGAAGAACTTTCCACCCAACTTCCAGTATGCTGATTTTGCTCCAATGTTCAAGGCAGAATTTTTTGATCCTAATATTTGGGCAGAGTTACTGAGCATGTCTGGAGCAAGGTAATGTTCATGAGATGATAATTATGAGTTATTTAAATACATTGATTGAAAAAAAAATCACAAAATATCGAACATTGTTTAACACTGGTGGTAAAACTTGATCAGCACTTGTGCTCTGTTGGATCAAGGTAGATTGTGATCAGACCAAAAAATAAGAAACTCTAAGGACAACTGCAAAGATTGGCCAAACAACATGAGAGGCCTAGTGGTAGTTATTGGTTATGTTGTGATTAAAATGTTGGACTCATTGACTAGTCAGAGTTCCAGCATTTGACCCATAGCCACTGCTATTTGTGCCAGTGACTTTCCTCTCACTGTGCCTTGTTTTACACTGCTGTAAATTTCTTTTGACACTGTTATTAATGTTGCCCACCTTTCAGTGGTTTTTAAGTCTACCAACAGACCTAGAGAAGGCTCCCAAGGCAGTGTGCTCCCTGTTGTCATTAATCAATGTTTAGCTTTCAAGAGTGACTACAAATTTTTGCCCTGCCTTCTCTTTTAGCAAGAAAAGGCCCACCTTCACTAATAACCCCGCTGTGGGGAACCTCTGTAACAGCTTGTGAAACCACCCAGTCTTCCAATTCAGTTTAATAAACAATTGGATTAATCCAGATCAATGGACCACCATTTGATTGTCATAAGGGCCTCTTCATCTCAGTGGGTATGGTGATATAAATTATATGATTCATACAGTACACGTGGTTGTTATAAATTTTAGATATGTAGTGCTGACCAGTAAACATCATGAAGGATGGACAAACTGGAGATCAAATGTATCATGGAACTGGAACTCTGTTGACAATGGACCACATAGGGATCTAGTGGGTATGTGCAACATATGGATGTATTAATTGTTCCAGAAAATATTCCAGATCCCTTGTTTATGAAAGCTTTCATTTTTGAGAACCCAACTCCCTCTGAATTTCTGTATTGACCTCCCTTTATGAGAGCACTTTTGAGGATATATGATACCAATAATGAGTAACATTTGATCTCTCCATTTGCAGGTGAACTTGCCCAAGCTGTCCGAAAGAATACCAACCTGGCATTTGGATTGTATCACTCACTTTTTGAATGGTTTAATCCTTTGTACTTGAAAGACCAAGCCAACAGTTACCATACTCAAGATTATGTCAAGGTTGCTGATTTCTTTTTCACGTCATGTTATGTAACATTTGTAACTGCAGTTTAATTAGTTAAACTTTTGACAGTAGTGAAAATATCACGTGGAAAACTTTCTGTGAGAGTCATTTGCATCCAATTTTGTTGATTGGTTGATCAGATAATATATTGCCCCCCCCCCCCCCCCCCCCCCCCCCCCCCCCCCCCCCCCCCCCCCCCCCCCCCCCCCCCCCCCCCCCCCC